ATCGCCGGCGTCCAAGGACGTGTTCGCCGGTATTGTGATGGTGCCAAACGGATGTCGCCGTGTCGGTTGTGGGTGCCGAGGCTGCTGCACCCAGACTGAGCGCCGAGCCTGAGATCGAAGCCCCGAGCGCAGCAACCTCGGTGTGGACGATCTCGACGCGACCAGCGGCAAGACCAAAGTCGACCGAGACCGTGAGTGGCATCGTGCCCTCAGACAGCACCACGGTCGTGTTGACGTCGGCTGTCTCGCCAACAGCAAGATCCCAGTTGGTCATGTCGTGCTGCGAAAGTCCTGTCTCGGTGAGAGATGTCGACAACGTAGCCATACGCGCCTCGTAGGGGTCATCAACGACAATCGTCTCATTGTCGGCTGTTGCAAGGGTGCGTGCAACAGCAGCCTCCGGCGAGGTGCCATACTCGAGCGCAGATGCGTGCCACGTCGTCTGATGCGGCGAGACAAAGTCTGTCAGCGCCGCGACGTACGTGATGGTGATAGGGCCAGTCCCCAGATCGAACGTCGGGATGAGGACATGGACCGACGCATCACCGGCATTGTTGCCAGATACAACAGTACCAGAGGTGGTGGTGACCGAGCCCGAGAACAGGGCGTACTCGATGTTGAACAGTGACGTAGCGTTGAGCGCATACGCCGCCGCCGTCGACGCACCAGCATGGTCGACCGTGACGGTGAAGGTCACATTGTCGCCAGCGTCACCAGTCGTGATCGACTGAGCGAGGTCGAACGTGAGGAGTGGGGCCACCACATCGAACGACTCGCTTGCAGTGAGGGACGACGAGCCAAAGTCAACAGTCGAAGCTGCGCTGATGGCAGTGCCGTCGACGTTGACCGGGACGTCAAGAGCACGGACGCGGGTCAGAACCACAACGCTATCGCCAGCGTCAAGGACGTTGTCGCCGGTATTGGTGATGGTGCCAAACGCGTATGTCGCCGTGTCGGTTGTGGTTGCCGAGGCTGCTGCACCCAGACTGAGCGCCGAGCCTGAGATCGAAGCCCCGAGCGCAGCAACCTCGGTGTGGACGATCTCGACGCGACCAGCAGCGAGACCAAAGTCGACCGAGACCGTGAGTGGCATCGTGCCCTCAGACAGCACCACGGTCGTGTTGACGTCGGCTGTCTCGCCAACAGCAAGATCCCAGTTGGTCATGCCGTGCTGCGAAAGTCCTGTTTCGGTGAGAGATGTCGACAACGTAGCCATACGCGCCTCGTAGGGGTCATCAACGACAATCGTCTCATTGTCGGCTGTTGCAAGGGTGCGTGCAACAGCAGCCTCCGGCGAGGTGCCATACTCGAGCGCAGATGCGTGCCACGTCGTCTGATGCGGCGAGACAAAGTCTGTCAGCGCCGCGACGTACGTGATGGTGATAGGGCCAGTCCCCAGATCGAACGTCGGGATGAGGACATGGACCGACGCATCACCGGCATTGTTGCCAGATACAACAGTACCAGAGGTGGTGGTGACCGAGCCCGAGAACAGGGCGTACTCGATGTTGAACAGTGACGTAGCGTTGAGCGCATACGCCGCCGCCGTCGACGCACCAGCGTGGTCGACCGTGACGGTGAAGGTCACATTGTCGCCAGCGTCACCAGTCGTGATCGACTGAGCGAGGTCGAACGTGAGGAGTGGGGCCACCACATCGAACGACTCGCTTGCAGTGAGGGACGACGAGCCAAAGTCAACAGTCGAAGCTGCGCTGATGGCAGTGCCGTCGACGTTGACCGGGACGTCAAGAGCACGGACGCGGGTCAGAACCACAACGCTATCGCCAGCGTCAAGGACGTTGTCGCCGGTATTGGTGATGGTGCCAAACGCGTATGTCGCCGTGTCGGTTGTGGTTGCCGAGGCTGCTGCACCCAGACTGAGCGCCGAGCCTGAGATCGAAGCCCCGAGCGCAGCAACCTCGGTGTGGACGATCTCGACGCGACCAGCGGCAAGACCAAAGTCGACCGAGACCGTGAGTGGCATCGTGCCCTCAGACAGCACCACGGTCGTATTGACGTCGGCTGTCTCGCCGATGGACAGGTCCCACGCCGTGGCGACGTGCTCTGCAAGGCCAGATCCCGGAAGAGAGGTCGCAAGCGTAGCCATGCGTGCCTCGTAGGGGTCATCAACAACAATCGTCTCATTGTCGGCTGTTGCAAGGGTGCGTGCAACAGCAGCCTCCGGCGAGGTGCCATACTCGAGCGCAGATGCGTGCCACGTCGTCTGATGCGGCGAGACAAAGTCTGTCAGCGCCGCGACGTACGTGATGGTGATAGGGCCAGTCCCCAGATCGAACGTCGGGATGAGGACATGGACCGACGCATCACCGGCATTGTTGCCAGATACAACAGTACCAGAGGTGGTGGTGACCGAGCCCGAGAACAGGGCGTACTCGATGTTGAACAGTGACGTAGCGTTGAGCGCATACGCCGCCGCCGTCGACGCACCAGCGTGGTCGACCGTGACGGTGAAGGTCACATTGTCGCCAGCGTCACCAGTCGTGATCGACTGAGCGAGGTCGAACGTGAGGAGTGGGGCCACCACATCGAACGACTCGCTTGCAGTGAGGGACGACGAGCCAAAGTCAACAGTCGAAGCTGCGCTGATGGCAGTGCCGTCGACGTTGACCGGGACGTCAAGAGCACGGACGCGGGTCAGAACCACAACGCTATCGCCAGCGTCAAGGACGTTGTCGCCGGTATTGGTGATGGTGCCAAACGCGTATGTCGCCGTGTCGGTTGTGGTTGCCGAGGCTGCTGCACCCAGACTGAGCGCCGAGCCTGAGATCGAAGCCCCGAGCGCAGCAACCTCGGTGTGGACGATCTCGACGCGACCAGCGGCAAGACCAAAGTCGACCGAGACCGTGAGTGGCATCGTGCCCTCAGACAGCACCACGGTCGTATTGACGTCGGCTGTCTCGCCGATGGACAGGTCCCACGCCGTGGCGACGTGCTCTGCAAGGCCAGATCCCGGAAGAGAGGTCGCAAGCGTAGCCATGCGTGCCTCGTAGGGGTCATCAACAACAATCGTCTCATTGTCGGCTGTTGCAAGGGTGCGTGCAACAGCAGCCTCCGGCGAGGTGCCATACTCGAGCGCAGATGCGTGCCACGTCGTCTGATGCGGCGAGACAAAGTCTGTCAGCGCCGCGACGTACGTGATGGTGATAGGGCCAGTCCCCAGATCGAACGTCGGGATGAGGACATGGACCGACGCATCACCGGCATTGTTGCCAGATACAACAGTACCAGAGGTGGTGGTGACCGAGCCCGAGAACAGGGCGTACTCGATGTTGAACAGTGACGTAGCGTTGAGCGCATACGCCGCCGCCGTCGACGCACCAGCATGGTCGACCGTGACGGTGAAGGTCACATTGTCGCCAGCGTCACCAGTCGTGATCGACTGAGCGAGGTCGAACGTGAGGAGTGGGGCCACCACATCGAACGACTCGCTTGCAACAAGCGTGCCTGAGCCAAAGTCAGCAGTCGAGGCTGCGCTGATGGCAGTGCCATCGACGTTGACCGGGACGTCAAGAGCACGGACGCGGGTCAGAACCACAACGCTATCGCCAGCGTCAAGGACGTTGTCGCCGGTATTGGTGATGGTGCCAAACGCGTATGTCGCCGTGTCGGTTGTGGTTGCCGAGGCTGCTGCACCCAGACTGAGCGCCGAGCCTGAGATCGAAGCCCCGAGCGCAATAACCTCGGTGTGGACGATCTCGACGCGACCAGCGGCAAGACCAAAGTCGACCGAGACCGTGAGTGGCATCGTGCCCTCAGACAGCACCACGGTCGTGTTGACGTCGGCTGTCTCGCCAACAGCAAGATCCCAGTTGGTCATGTCGTGCTGCGAAAGTCCTGTTTCGGTGAGAGATGTCGACAATGTGGCCATCCGCGCATCAGTCGGCGAAACGACAGACAGCACGGCAGAGTCTACCGCCTCGTAGCGACGCCTTGTGGAAGCATGCGACACGGAATGATAAGTGGCTGCAACGGTGGCCGTCCCAACAGATGCAGGCAGCGACGAATTGGTGATCACCGACATGAAGAGAAGACTGGCTGCTGCCGCTGGCGGCCCATCTAGCCGCCCCACCTCGGCCACAACATGCGTGGCATTGAAAAAGACAACTTGAACATCTGGAGCGCCTGGGGCCGACACCACCGCGCTTCTGGGCACCAGCTCAAGCTGATGCGGCAATGCAACCACCAAGGTGAGATTGTGCGCCGACGACCGCGAGCCGCCAACGTGAGCAACCGAGGCACTGACAGTCACCCAGTTACCGGCATCACCTGTACTCGGGGACATCGTCAGCGATGCCGCCAGTATGGGCTCCACCACATCGACGGCGAATAAAGCCACAGAGCTGGATGGCACACCCGAGTCAGGCACCCAAGACGCAGTTGCAACGACGTCGCAAGCGTCATTGTTGGTGTTGCCTCCAGCGTCCACCAGATGTAGCGTCCCGTTGATTACGAGCTCGTCACGTGTGTCTACGGCATTGTCCGCGGTGTTGGTCACGTCGCCAAGGAAAATGGATCCGGCAGAGGCAAGCGTGCCTGACACAGCATCGCTAGCAGACAATACAGTCTCGTCGAACCAAACAGCAGCTGTGTCGATGGTAGTGATGCACGTGCTAGAGACCACAAGACTCATCGACGATGTCACACCCTCGTGCACACGAATCAGACCAGAAAACGCCACAGTCTCACCGATGGCAGTCGCAGGCGGAACGGTCGTCGCCTCAGAAGAGCCGTCGTAGACGATTGACACAGCCTCTGGCTGTCCGACGGTCAGCATTCCAGTCGCCGTCGCCAAATAAGGTGTAGCCACAGACGCGTTTGGCGCGGAAAGATAGTCAAGTTGGACGGAGAGCGCGAGCGCCTCCGTGGCGTTCACGTTGTTTGCCACGGTAGCATTGAGCGTCAACACAACTGGCGGGTCCGACGGCAAACGCGTTCCGAGTGCAACCAGAGCGATCTGCGGCGAGACCAGAGTAACGTTGGCCGCCGGCCATCCGCCAAGCAGCGAGTTGAGCGCGAGCTTGGCATCAACGGTAACAGTCACCAAAGTTTCGTAGGCTGGTCCACTCGATGCTACCGCATCGTCGATGGTGACCACAACCGGAATCACGTCGTTGGCATCGACGAATCCGCTCGGCACATCGAGTGCAACCGTCAATGATGGCGCGACTACGGTGAACACAATACCATCGGTTGCTGGCCCTGCCAAGCTAGGCTTGTAGTCAAAAACGCCAGTGATGGCAAACGTGGCCGTGGTCAAGCTCGACACCACACGGAGCTGCGCTGACAATGCCACAACATCCGATCCATTGAGCACGTTGTCACCACGGTTGAACAGCTCGACTGGCCCAAACTGGTTGCCCGCGAGAGCACCAGCTGCTGTGGCGGGAGTGAGGCCCATGTGATCGAGACCCGGGCCTGCCAGCAGTGAAGCCGACTCGACAACCGAGTTGGCCGACCCACCCCCGGTAAAGTAGCTGACCATGGCCGGAAGCGTGCCCTCAAACGGGCTAAGTACGAGCTCAACGATCACCATCTCGCCAGCGGTAACCTCTAGCCCACTTGTTTCGGGCAGCGAGGTCGACACAAGCGCGATGACTGCGGTTGGGGTGCGGAGCGCGAGTGGACCACTTGATGCAGAGAGCGAGGACACAACATTGCCGATAAAATTGCCGCCACCCTCGCTGTTTGAGTAGCGCGTGACCGCAGCCGCCGCACCGGGTTGGGGAGCATCTCCTGGACATGTGGTGTTGCTGGCGCGTGCTACCACGAGCGCAACCGCGATGTTGGACCCGTCGGTCGCAAGCGTCGAGTTGAGGTCCCGACCCTGGCGGAGCGCCCCGGCGGTGATCGAGTCGGCCAGCTCGATGCCACTCGGCCCAAACAGTGAGCCGGTGTGTGGGAAGGCGGAGCCGTCGGATGCAAGCACGCACTCGGCGACCAGCTCAAAATCGGCCGGGAGCCCGTCACTCAACCGGACGTCGTAGGCGTGTGCGTGGCCGACGTTCTCGACAACAATGGCAAAGACAACAAGATCACCGGCGTCGAGATCCACAAGGCCAGCGGTGTCGAGCGGGCTCGCCGCAACGTCACCTGAAGTGACGGCCATGCCCGCAGAGAGCAGAGAGCATGCATTGCTCGGATTGGCTGCAGCCGCGCGCACTGTGGCCGGGTCAGGGCTGGGCAAACCCGGCGTTGCCGGCACGGCGCCAGCAAAGTGAGCTGCCTTGATCGGCGTGCCATCATCAACACCAAGGATGCCCTTGTGGAGGACAAGCTCTGGCTCACCAAACCGCACGGAGAGGTCTGTCGACGAGAATGAGGCTCCTGACGACGACTGGGTCACAATGAGGAATGGAGAAAGATCCGGCAGTGGGGTCGTGCCAACGGCAACGGTAACCAGGACGTTGATCTCGTACTCGCCGGTTGTGTTGAGCTCCATGTAAGGGAATGAAAAAGTGACGACGTTGGACGCATCCACGGTGACGTTGGGCACGGCGTCGGCGCCTATGCCGCCGTTGTACATCGAGTCAAACGGGCCGAGCTGGAAGCCTCCAAGCGGGGGCGGGAGGGCCGACGGCACGGCTGATGCGAGGTACGGCGAGCTTGCCAGCACCGACGTGTCAAACACTGGAGTCGGCAGGTAAGCCACCAAGTCGAGCGACGGCGAGACCCCCATCGGCACTGTGTAGCGCATCGAAAACGTGATGTTTGAGCCTGGGGCGAGCGTCGAGAGCGAGGTGCACGGGTAACAAACAACATCGTTGGCCGCGTACAGCGCGGTTTCGGAGATGGCTGTTGTTCGCACCGAAGTCGTCCACCCTGGATTGCCACCCGGAAGCCACGGCGAGCGCGGGGCACCAGTGGAAGCGTTGACAATGCGGAAAACAGCTGTCGAGGCGAGAGTGAGCGTGTCACCCGGGGCAAGGCGGCCGCCGGAGACGGGAGAATCTGTGTACGTGGTGGCCACCTGAACCGAGGTGACAAGGGAACCGCCAGTGACCGGCCCCGGGATGAAACCGGCAGACGACGCGCCTAGCACAGCGAGAGCGTCGGTGAGGTTGTACGCGAAGCTAGTCGTGCCATCGGTTGCTGGATTGGCGTCGTTGCCAATGCGAGAGATGTCGACTGAGAGGCCATTGGGCCCGGATGCAAGCGGCGATGTTGTGGCGCCGCCGTCAAGAGAGAGCGTCGGCGGCGGCGAAGGGACATAGCTGACGCCGTCGGCAATGGTGGCGTCGATGTCAAGCTCGAGAGCAACGCAGTCCGAGACGTCAAAGGTGAAGACCGAGGCGAGAATATCGCCGGGTGTGACGCCTGTAGCACCAACGTCAGTGCTGATGGCTGGTGTTGGCGCACGGAGGATGAGCGACTCGAGCGTAGCCGACGGACCGGCAGCCACAATTGAGCTCGACGACGCGAGATCTGCACGCGGGTCTGGGAAGACAATCGACGCTGCATCGACCGAGCTCTCAGGGTCAAGCCAAGGCAGACCGGAGCCGTCAATGCAGTCGACGGCAAATGGAACGATGAGCGTGAATTCTGGACCGCCAGGGGTGCCGACGATATTGCCAGCCTCGACAATGATGGCGACGTGAGTGCCGTCGAGAGGTACGCCTGAGACGGTCGGCGCCGACGTGACCACGCCCGCCGAGGCAGTGGGCGGGCCAGTGAGAACTAGACCTGCCGGGAGCGGTATTGTGATGTTGAGTGAGCCTGTGACAACACCATCGGGCACGTCTACAGCGACGGTGTAGGTCTGCGGCGCAGATGGACCGAGAGTCCAAGAGGCAGCAGAGAGCCGTGCGGTGACCTCGACGTCGCGCGGAGTGACTGTGAGCGTGGTAGCGGCTCCAGCGATGGGAGGATCAGTCGAAGTTGTTGGGTCAGTGCCGTCGGCAAAGTACGGGGTCGTAGTGATGACGACAGGCGAGCCTGGAGCGCCTCCGTTGGCAGCAAGGACGGCTGCACCGAGAGCGGTGACGTCGACCGGCGGTTGTGACGGGACAAACGAGGCAAAGGGCAGAGCAACGAGATGCACCACTTCCCCAGGCAGGCCACAGAGCGTAGCTGGAGGCGGATCAACTGGATGGGGTATGCATGGCGATGGAGCAGTCAAGGTAGTGGAGAGGAGAACATCGAGAGCGTTGCCTCCATAATCGTAGCTTGATGGCGGCGTGAGTTCCGGCGGGTATTGATAGAGGATGCGAGGTCCATACCCCGGAGGAAGCGAGCCTGCATTAGAGAAAGTGGTGACAAAGGGAAAGGTGGCGCCAAGATCGATGCTCGCCGTAGCCGTAGCTGGCGTCAGAGACGGGACTGGTGCTGCGGTTGTCATGGCCACAGACGCCATGACCACCATGACCACCACCGCCGACGCAGCCGCAGCGGGCAGGGAAGCGACGAGGGAGCGAGACATGGTACACGAGGGGAGGGGGAGAGTGGCAGAGATTGGGAGGGGTGTAACTCTATGTGTGTGTGGGTGGGGGGGGGGGGGAGGGGGGGGGGGTGGAGTTGAGTATCTCCTACTCCAGCATGTTCTCATCTGCCTCTCCGCGTCGTTGATCGTGCGTGCCCTTGTTCGAGCCCCCAACCACACACACACACACACAGGCAAACCGTCTGGGTTGATTGCGTCAAAGTCGCTGTCCGGACTGACGGTAGAGATCGCTGGTGTCTTGGGTGGTGGATGGAAGAATGATGAAAACTTGATTGACTCTGATCGATGTCATGGAGCGGTTGCTGATCTTGTTCGCCGTGCCCGTGATGGTGCTTTGGATGATGCCCTCGATTGCGGAACAAGTAGGAGTCGTCGGGCTGACGCGCTGGTTTCGCCGACATTGTTCGGTGCTGATTCGGATGCGGAGTTCGGCGACATCAAATTGGCACTGCATGAGGTACTGGGACTTTCCACCTGTGCCATCCCCCCTGCAAGCTTGGTAAAGCCCCCACACAGAGCAGAAATCTCTTGCCACAACAAGGACTAAGCAACGCTCAGCTGAGAGAGCAAGGTTATACTCATGGCTGCCGCCGACGTCTTCCCTGTCATCGACATCACCGATGCCGTATCTTTTTGCCGTGACGCCGCCGTGAAAAAGCAGAGCGTGGCTGGATGCAGCCAATGAGTGGGCGTCCGTCGCGCGTCACGAGACGGACAGGTACCGAGGCGGACGGACAAGGTATCACTCCTCGCCGTGTGAGACTGGAGGGGGGAGGGAAAGTACAGGGGCTGTGGTGGCGGGAGTTGTAGGCACATGCCGTTTGCGGTGTTTGGCGACCAGGCGTCGTGCTTTCATCATGGTCCGGACAAGGAACTGGTATGGGAGTGTGCAAGGGTAGCCACCATGGCGGCGCTCTCGGCTGCGACAGGGCTGATCACTTTGGTTGTTCTCGCCTTCAAGGCAGCAAGAAGAACGCTCTGGCAACGACAAGGTCGCTCTCAGTTGCATCAACTCATTCTGCTTGGCTTGGCTGAAGTCGTCTGCTCTCTCGCCGCCATCAGATACTCGTACTCCTTCTCACGGGTCGTCAACCGAAGGCTGGACAACGTTCTGGCCTACGCCATGATTCTCATCCCCTTCTTTGTCACATACTTTTATCTCAAGTTCTTTGCTACCGTGTACAAGGCCCGTCGCTCGCTCTTGCGCCTGCTCAATCCCGTTGCCGCTGCCATCTGGACCGCCATCACGATCGTCTTGGCCCTCTCGCAGACTTCGGTCTTTCACCACGCCGCTGCCTGCGAGACCTACCCGTGGCTTATCAACTCGGTTGTTGCCTTTGCGCTCTGCTTCACCTTTTTCCTCTTCTCGCTTCCGGTCTTCCGTGCTCTCAACCGCATGGAGGCTGCCGCTGTCCGCAAGGCCGTTGCCGCGTGGCATCGCCGGGCGCAGCAGGGTGGGGACAGCGCGCTGGCTGTGCCGACCTCGCGGCAGTCGATCAACAACGCCGAGGCCGGCGATTTTGTGGCTTCTTCCGTTGGAGAGGGTGGGCCGGCGGCTCCGCTGCTTCCCGGTCGACGCATCAGCCGCAGCCCGTACTCGACAGTCTCGTCCGAGGCCTCGCCGCGATCGCGGCCGCTGACCCGCACCGATCTGCCGCCGCACATTGCTGCCGCAGCGGCGCTGATCCGCAAGAAGAAGATCAAGCTCTTCTCGCTCATTGTCATCTATCTCTCGGCAAGTACCGTGACTCTCTCTTGGTCGATCTACGCCATGGAGACCGTTGTCGCCTCGCCTACTCACCCGGTCTGCCACCACGCGTCGACCCACCAGGCCTTCTTTCTTATCTACGTCCCCATTCACATCGTCTCACTCCTGGTCCCGGTCTGGGCTGTCCTGTACCAGTTTGCAGACTCGTCGGCTCCGCCGCCGGCCGTCCGCACCGCCCGCGCCGGCACTGCTTCGCCGGCGACGGGGAATCTGTCGGCCGTCGGTCCGTCCGCCGGCGACTCGAACGCTGCCCGCCCGCGGCCGCACCCCGCAAGCCTCTCGCACATCAAGGTTGTCGTTCGCCCACTCACGGCGTAGAGGTAAAGTTGGGCCCACTCGTGGGGTGGAGGTTAAGATGAGGGGACGAGAGGAAGGCTTTGGAAAATTGCGCTTATTTGATGATGTCCAGATTACAGTGGGGGGTGACAATGAGCGCGGGCTCGGAGGCACACCAGTGACGAGGCCGCGAACCCCGCGCCAGGGAGATGGCGTGGAGCGCGCGGGCACTCTTGGCGACCGCGAGGCGAGGCGGATACAACGACCGACGACCGACACGTGCCGATGCATGTGTGTGCGTGTGTGTGTGTCCGTATGTGTGTGGATGTGGCAGCGGAATGGAGTGGACGGGCGGGGAGGTGGGGTGGCAGCACAGAGTGACGACAACAGCCGGTGGAGAGAAGAGGCGGAGGAGGAGGAGGAGGAGGAGGAGGAGGGCGGGGTGGGGGGCGGAGAACATGGGCTACGAGCAGCTAAAACTGCCGCGGCGAGAGGACAACATCCATCGCCCACGAGCCGGCGTCAAGCGGGCTCGTGGGGTTGCCCAGCGACGAGTCGTCGCAACCGAGCAGGAGTGTGGGGTCAAGGCGGAGCATGCGCCGGTGCGGGAACTGGATGCCAGTCCGAGCGGTCGCAAAACCCTCGACGAGCTGGTCGAGCTTGGACTCGCGGAGCGCCTGGTGGACCGGCTTGATGCCCAGCGGCGGAAAGGCGGCGGGACAAGCTCCAGCCTTGGCTGGCCCGAGCGCCATGTCTGACAACGAGCGCGGCGACATTCCCTGTGCGAGCAGCATATCGTGCGCAGCAGCGTCGAGCTTGTCGGTCGCAGGCAACGAGACGGTGGGCCGGAGCGGCTTGCGCGCAGCCTCCAGCAGGCCCTCCGGCAGTGGGCCGCGCACCAGCGGGCGTGGCATCGAGGACGACGGCGGCGGCGGCGACGGCGGCGGCGACGGCGGCGGCGACGACATGTGGCAAAAGCGGAACATGCTGCGCGGCGAAATCGGGACCTCGTCATCAATGGTCGACACTGGAGGCTGGCTGAGATCCAGGCTCGGGAACTCGAACACATCGAGGTTGCCCGGCCCACCCTGCAGGGTCACTGGAAGCATGTCAGCGACCGGGGCCGAGGCGGCGACCACCGGTTGGGGTGCCGGCAGTGCGGGCGCCGGCAGTGCGGGCGCCGGGAGTGCGGGCGCCGGGAGTGTGGGCGCCGGGAGTGCGGGCGCCGGGAGAGGAACGGGCAGCGGGAGACCGTCCGGGGTCCGACTCCAGCTAGGGATGGGGAGCGGGAGCGGGAGCGGGAGCGGGGACTTCTTCTTGGAGGTCTTCTTGGAGGCCTTCTTCGAAGCCTTCTTCGACCGCGACGACGACGACGACGATGACGACGATGATGGCCCCACCATGGGCGGAAGCCGGCCGGTCCCGGAGACCCCGTTCCGCTGGACGACATGCAAGACCACAACCGCAGGCACGCCGTCGCCGTCATCGCCGGCGTCGACAAGCTTGCGGTAGCTCTTGTACGACCAGGCCTTGTCGCGGCGGTGGCGGTACGACGAGGCAATGTCAGCGTTCTCGTTCTTGAGAGACTTGAAGCCGCGCGGCGAAGCCCAGGCCTTGGCACGGACCACACGCTGCTCGGATGGCTTCTTCACAAACATGACCATCAGCTTGCCGGAATGCTCTTCAAACGACTCCGGCATGGCATCGCGCGGCTCGACAACCAGGTCAAGCTGGGCCTCGAGCGCCGGGCTCGGCCGGAACGCCGCCATCCGCACCTGCGAGCTGTGCGCCAGCTGGTCAGTCGCAAACGCTGCTGCCTCGCGCGCCAACGCAACGTATAACGGCAGAGGGAGAGCACGGCTGTGCTTTGAGTTGGACATGGCTTCCACCGTGTGCCCAGTAGTACCTCAAAGACGAAAAGAAGAGGAAGAGAGGAGAGAGAAGGGGAGGGGGGGGAGATCCGACTTGCCCACAAACGAGACAAGCTTGTCGTGCAACCGGAAAAAAGGCAAAGTGCCTAGACCAGGATGAGAGCACGAGCCGAGAGAGTGCGAGAGACCGTCGAGTCGCCTTTGCACTTGCAGCCGATGGAAGCCTTTGGAAGGATCACAGGGGCAGGCAAGTCCAGAGGGAAAGGAGGCACACACAGACCGCGAGGCAACTACCCTTGCTCAGTCAAGAGGAAGAGAGAAGTTCAACGACGGGGAAGGTAAGCGTGTGAGCAAGCAAGTCTACGACACAAGCTTTGGTTGCAGAACACAACAAAGAGTTCAAAGTCTCGGGTGTGGGCAAGTCGGGTCTGCTGTGGTGAGGTCGCGAACCTGGGATGGATCACGCACTCAACCACAGAGAGAAAAGTGTTACTCAATTTCGATCCGTGCAAGTCAATCGTTCCAACAGTCATTTTCCCTGTCGGCCCGATCCGATCCGATCGAATCCTCGCCAAGTCGCACTGATCACGGGGGCACACACAGACATGCCTTCGACACCCCCCCCGTCGCGGCCTTACCGGCCTACCCCCCCCTGGGAGGCGTCAGCAGTGTGGACAGTGTAGGTGTGGGATGGCTGAGGAGGATGAGGGACTCGTTCTCGACACGCTGTTCTTCGCGACCAGCAAGGTCAATGGCTGGGCCTTTCTCTCCTCGGCTTGGCCACAGGTGCCAGAGAAGGCGGCGGCGGCGGTGGCGGCGGTGTTTCCTGATGTGGCGCGATGCCGAATCGCCATTACACTCGGCGGTGCGAGGTACTCTTCGGCATTGCACTACTTTCAAGCTACCAAGTACGACACGGTGCCGGCGGTCCAGATCCTGCTCCGTGATGCTGCCGAGGCTGGGACGCTCGCTGCTGCCGCCCGCCAGCTCCGCCGCGAGCGCCCGCTGAGCGAGGCGCAGCAGGCGGCATGGAAGCTGCGACGGGTCAATGTCATGCGCGATGGCCTTCTTGCGTTGTATGTGCAGCATCCACCGCTCGCTGCGGCTCTGCTATCGTCGGCACCGCGGCCGCTTGCAAAGTCGCCGTTCCGCTCAGAGTCGTTCTGGTCCGGTGGCTCGCCAAGCTCGGCCAACGTCATGGGCGAGACCCTGATGTGGATCCGCCTCGTCCTTGGTGGCACGCCGGTGCCGCCGATGGCAAGTGCAGCGGCACGGGTGCCGCTTGCGGTTCCGACGCTGCCGCCGGCGCGGGCGCTGAGCGACGCGCAGCGCGCCGCATTCCGGACCCAAGGCCACGTGGTGGTCTCGGACGTGCTGCCGCGTGCGGCCAAGGCAACGGTCGAGGCTCACTTTCAGCTCTATCTCGACTTTCTCGCCTCACGCTCGGGCTCGAACGCGCTGTCAATCTTCGACTTTGCCACGCCTGGGAGTGTGGTGTCGCGGGCAGCACTGGCGACGCTCGGCGGTCTCCACGATCCAGGCCAGCGGGCTGCTTTCTTCTCAGACGACGACTCTGTTTTGTTTTACGATGGTGTGCGCAAAGTGCGACAGCCGCTGACAATTGGAGAGCGCTCGTCCGGCATAGTCTACGTCCACGGCCTGACGACGCCGCTCATGTGGGTGCCCGAGGTGCTGGACCCGATCTGCGATGCATATGGTGTGGCCGAGCCGGGCGAGCTGCGCCTGGCCAACGAGTGCTTTCTCCTCAAGCTTCAGTCGTCAGCCAAGGTGGCACCACACATGGACGTGCCGCCGTTTGATCCCCGCCACACACTTGCAGACCGGGTCGCCGCCTACTACGTCGTCCGTCCCATCACGTTCCGGATCCTGCCCTGGATCCATGCCCCGTGGCTGACCAAGCTCTGGCGGCGGCTTTTCCACCCATACCTCGGCGTTGAGGGTGCGCGCTGGCCGCCCGGAGCGCTTCGCTCGAATCCACTGTTCTGGATGGACAAGTCGACCAAGTACCCGTTCGACTTGGCCCTGCTCACAGCCTATGTCATCGCCTACGCACACGCGTGGACCGGAACGCCCGTCGACGTGCTGGCAGCCGAGTGTGGCGTTGCACGTCTGGCGCCCGATCACAAGGTCGGTGATAAGGCCCAACTCGACTTTGGACAGCTGCTCGAGCATGCTGACGCGCTGGCGCGCTCATCGGACGCAGTCCAGATCCCGCCGACGCCGGAACTGATGCCAGTCGGCGGCTACGCCTGGGTCACACTCTCTGCCAACGATGGCGACCTAGTGCTGTTCTCAACCCCGCTGGCCGGCGTGCGGGCCGATGATCTCGCGGCGTTTGTGGTGCCTGTCTCGGCGTGGCGGCACGACGATGTGGCGTCGCCGACTCCGCCACCGGCGTGGCCTGGCGACCCGCGCACGTTCTGGACGACGCACGGGGACGGTACGCGATTCCCGGCCTTTGAGCGCGCCTTTGCGCTCTTCGCTGAGGCCCAGTTCCGTACTGCAGGCTTTGAGCTCCCGATTCCCTGGTCCGACCTCAGGCACGATGGAGCGTACTTTGACCCTGTCGTGCCGTGCCCGCAGGCTGCCGCCATGCTTGGACTGCCGCCAGGCGCCACATCAGTGACTATGGGGGCGACGCCCGATGCGCCGCTTGCCAAGTGGACAGTTGATCAAGTGGTGGCGTGGTGCGTCGGCCAGCCCGAGCTTGCCATCCACGTTGACGCTATTCGCGCTGCGAAACTCGACGGCGCTGCAGTGGAGGCGCTCTCGACATCCGAACTTGCGCGCGGCGCGAGCATCCCGCTCGGGGTGGCGGCGCGAATCCGCCGCGAGCTCGCGGGCGTCGGTCCGTCGAGCGCCAGAAGCAGCAGCAGCGACGGCGAGCTGAAGGATGTTGACTTTGGCGCAAGTGCAGGAGCGGCCCAACTCGACTTTGGCGAGCTTGTCATCGGCGACCAGATTGGCTCTGGTGCGTTTGGGGTTGTGTATGTGGGGAGCTGGCGCGGCGCCGACGTAGCGGTCAAGCGCCTGCGTGCTGCCGTCGACGGCCGCCACATGGCCGCCTTTCTCCGCGAGGTGGCGACGATGCACGGGCTCAAAGCCCACCCAAACATTGTGCTCTTTCTGGGCATGTCAGGAGTTGTCCTTCCGACTGGCATCCGCGAACTGTACCTGGTCACCGAGTACTGCTCGGGCGGCTCACTCGACAAGCTTGTCTTCGACGGCCAGGTCACCATTCCGGCCAACCGCATGTTTCAGATTGCGCTTGAGGTGGCATCAGGTATGATGCACATTCATTCCGAGGGGCTCGTTCATCGCGACCTCGCGCTCCGCAACCTGTTGGTGACCGGGCGCGGCTCCATCAAGGTCGCCGACTTTGGGCTCTCCAAGACGGTTCTTGCCGAGGCTTCAAGCGTGGGAGAGGCTACCAGTTCGACGTTTGTGGGTCCGCTCAAGGCCATGGCTCCCGAGTCGCTTCGCGGCAACCACGGGCCTCCAGCCGATGTTTGGGCCTTTGGCATCGCCATGTGGGAGCTTGTCACCCGCACGCCCGTCTTTGCCGACCTCACCGCGCCACAGGTTGCTGCCGGCGTTCTCGCCGCCGGCCTTCGCCCGCCGATCGGCGAGTCCATGCCGCGGCTCTGGGCCAACATGCTGCAGGCGTGCTGGGCCGAGGTTCCAACCGCGCGTCCGACCTTTGCCGACATTATCTCGGTCCTCTCCCGTGAACTCGGTCTCGTGGAGAGCGAATTGACCGGCGGGGAGGACGGGCAGGATGACGACGACGATGATGACAACGACCTCGCTCCGACAATCGCCTCGAGCTCCAACTCACGTCACAGGCGCCGGCGATGAGGCGTCCGGTACGTCGGAAGTCTCCGATGCATCGCTCGGCTGAGCATTGGGTCCGGGTACAGGCTCGGGCGCACACTCAATCCGCTCGTAAACTAGGAGATACGCCTGCTGCCGCAGCACGTCGTCGAGGCTCGAGAGTGAGACCGATGAATCCGAGACATACAGCCAGGCCGAGGCGTGCAACCAAGCCAGCCACTGGCTGCGGGTTCTCGGCTCGCTGTCGACACTTGGATCGGCAGCATTCGAGTCGGACCTTCGCTGCGCGGTCGCGATGGCGTCCGAGTGGCGGACGTAAGCCACGTAGTGGCCGCCGTGGAGTGAGCCGCTGTGGACGACAATCCCGACGAGGGCGTAGGTCAGCGGCGCGTCGTCATGTGCGGTGGCGTCATCGTCATCGTTCGACGCCGAGCTGTCAGAGGATGACGAGTGCGCGAGCTCGACTGCGTCGACGTGGGGCAGATCGCTTGCCACAAACGGAGCCATGTCAAGAATGGGAGGGAAGACCACGTGTGCGCCAAGCTTGGCCATGCGGCCGCGCGACTGATCGAACCGCTTCAGATGCAGAATGAGGACAGGCGGAAGGCGTGTGAGGACCAGCTGCTTGAGAGCGGTCTGGAAGACCCGGCGTTTGCGCCAGACCTGCTGCGGGAGCGGCTCGCCGCGCTCGGCCTCGATACTACCCAGCTTGGCCTTGGTGCATGCGGAGCAGGCGTAGCGATTGGCGGCATCGAGCGTCTCGACTGCGGCGAAAGCAGCCAGGCAGCCCTCGAGGGTGATTGGCGTCGCGCTTGCCGCCGCCGCCAGCTCAGGCGGGAGGCGATGAAAGCTGACAGAGCCGGCAACACCTGGGCCGACGTAGTGGTCGATGTCAGGACCCGTCCCGTCGCGAAAGCCGGAGAGCTCGCCCGAGAGCGCATCGTGGCCGGGCACAGCAGCCTGCTCTGTGGCTGCAGCGCGATCGGGGATGGCCGACTCAAGCGGGTTGTACCAGTCGTCGACAGCCAGCCCTTGTCCGCGACGCTTGTTCTTACGCTTGTTCTTGCGCTTACCACGGCGCGAGCTGGACGCGGCGCCGTAGCCCGCCCCGGCAACGTAGCCAGAGTGGGGGCGGGTGGCTGCGGCCCTCGGCTTGCCCACCGGCAGCGAGATGTCGTACAGCGGCTCGCGCCGGAGCGAAGGGACAGCGCAGACATCGCAGATGACTACCGAGACCATTTCCCCGCGCCAGACAGTGTCCACTAGTGGCGGACGCACGTCAGACTCGTCGCGCAAGCCATCAACCAGGACCCGTAACAGCTCGTGGGCATCCTGCTGACCAAAACCTCTGAACTGCGGCGCAAGACCACAGATGGCGCCAAAGAGCTTGCGTGGGTTTGGGCTGCCACTAGAGGGCTTCCACATGGTCCGCAGCACGTCGCTGAGCAGGCCAGCAATGCCAGCAGGCCGCGGAGTGATCACCAACCCGGCGACAAGCGGCGGCATTTGGGCGAGCGTCTGCAGGACCGAGTTGAAGAAGCATGTGTTGCCAATGTTGGGGATGCCGCACATGCCGGGCGCAACGCCCTTGAGTCGGCCGCGCTTGCCGGCGGTGTTCCGCCGCGGCTTGGCCTTGGGCTTGGCCTTGGTGGCGCCGCACTCGACGCCACCGTCCCACCACGAGATCTTGCCAGGCGCTGAACGGGCGTGACCGCTGTTGCGCTTGCCTTTGAGCGCTGGTGGGGCAGCATTGACTGCAGGCAGTTGCACATCGCTGTTAGTCGCCGACGGATCCATGACGTGGTCACCGAGCCCTGCGTATCGGCGGACAAGCGCGCGGGCCTCGTGCAGAGCGCGGTCGGGAAGCAGCCCAACCTCTGCATCACACCCGTAGCACCAGACCATCAGCGACGAGCATGACAGAACAAGCACGTGCTTGCTCCCGCTGACTGGGCGTGCTGCAGCGCACAGCCCGACGCAGCGCGGCCACAACCCAACTGAGCACACCACAGACAGATCCACAGCTCGGCACCTTGGGTGCCACACGAGAGGCACGAGTCCAGAGCTGCATGCGGCAGCTTACGGCGCATCACCTTTGTCCGCACCGTCGCCAGATGCCGACATCGCTTCTCGTCGAGCTCTGTCGCGCCGTCATCAGCCGCTGGCGGCTCAGCATTCCCAGCCGTCACGTCAGATGCGATCTGCACAGCCTTCGGCACCGCCGAGTCTGTCTTGTCCGTCTTGTCCGCCGAAGCCAGCGAGGTGGTGGCGTAGCCCCTGCTGCCCTTGCCCGCTGCCTTCTTCCGTCTTCTGCGACCCATGTGCCCACACGTACTCAGCGTGCGTGAAGTGTGGATGGGTGCGTCAACCAGGGTGGTCAGGGAGGTTGAGGGCAGGCGGGCCGCCGTCTCGGCGCTCGACTCGCCCTCGTCGCCCTCGTCGCCCTCGTCGCCCTCGTCGCCCACCCTTTTGCTCGCGATTGTGGGTTCACTTCATTGGCTCATACCCACAGATGACACACTGGTGTGATCATGGAGTCGGTGGATGGGATACAGAGAGTTGCCGATGTAGCCGATGTAGCCGATGTAGCCGATGTAGCCGATGTAGCCGATGTAGCCGATGTAGCCGATGTAGCCGATGTAGCCGATGTAGCCGATGTAGCCGATGTAGCCGATGTAGCCGATGTAGCCGATGTAGCCGATGTAGCCGATGTAGCCGATGTAGCCGATGTAGCCGATGTAGCCGATGTAGCCGATGTAGCCGATGTAGCCGATGTAGCCGATGCAGCTGTTGCTGTTGAAGGGGACTGATCGGTGTACCTTCAGGAACCTGATGGCGGAGCTGGATAGACATGGCACTGGGATGGTTCACACACATGACAGGAGGTAGTCAATCGGAACCGATGATGTGTGTTCCATGGGCAAACATGATGCCGCAGAATGGCTGGAGCATAGCTTCGGCAGCGGATGACCACAAGTGACGTGGTCAATGAGACCACTACCACCTGATAAGGACAGCTGCGGCCTCTGGGGCGACGACCTTAGGTAACAAGATGACCTCGAGGAAGGGGGGAGGGGGGGAGGGGGGGGGGCTACTTTCACTGCGTTATCATCGCCACAATCAGGGGCGAGTCGGCCATGCTTGTCCCTGTCCCATCACCATCGTCGACGATTGATGTGTTTACAACCGGCAGTAACGGGGGGGGGGGAT